CTTGCTCATGTGGGGAACCTAAACCTAAAATGATGGTAGTGATAATGATGATAGGATATGAATGTGCAAGGAGAATTATTTGGAGGTGATCAATGGAAAGCGTACTGAAGGATAAAGAGGATCAATATATATACATATGTGTATATGTATATATGTATGTGTATATCTAACACACATATACTTGTGTGTGTGTGTGTGTGTGTGTGTGTGTGTGTGTGGCGGGGTGGGGGAGAGGGATGGTCCCTTGAACTTAGGGCTTGGGCACTGTTCCTAAGCTTTTGTGCGCAAGTCTAGCACTCTACCACTTGAGCCAGAGCTCCACTCAGGCTTTTCTTCGTGCTTAATTGGAGACTAGATTTTCATCCACTTTCCTGCTAAGGCTGGAGATCCTCAGATCTTAGCTTCCTGGGGAGCTAGCATTATAGGTATGAGCCACAGGTGCCCAGATATATATCTCTATAACTATGTCTCTATCTATAGATCAACTTAACAGAGTTTGAAAAAAAGGGCAGGGGTAAAAGGGAGTATAATGGAGAGAGTAAACTTTTTCATAGTGCACCATTTGCAATGTATGGAATGATCACAATAAAATATGCTCATATTATTAATGTCTAGTCATTCATAAAGAAAACAAAATTTTAACAAGCATACTAGTTTAAATTTATTAACCACTAAATCCTGGTGTATGTTCTTTGGACACTCAATAGACATCTAAGCCCTCTTGTTTAGTATTCTTGCTGAATGGGCTATGGACAATTTCATTAATGAGTCAGATGAAATCAACACACTGTAGAATAAAGAATCCTTTTTTTTAATTCCTAGAAGCTTGACATATTGGTCCATTTTTCTTTTTAGTGTCTCTTCAAGGCTAGACTTTTAATTTTTAAATGGGAACATAATTAGGCCACTAGGAAACATGTTAAGCACAGGTTAACCATCAGTCAAAACAATACTATTAAAATGGAAATCATAGAAAATATGTTGCCTCCCCTCTGGAAGTCGCAGATGTGACCTTTGCAAACCTGCTTTATGTGTTGTTCTGGCAGAAGAAAGTAGCTGGTGACTAAGTGAGAATATATTAAGAATTTCCCACACACTGCTTCACACACAATATAGCAATTCTTATCAGTAATTAAAAGACAAGGGAAACTCAAGGAAAGAAAGAAAATGAAATGCCAGACTGAGGCTCAGCAACAGCTGCATGGAAGGACAAAGCACACCTGAACGCGCCAGGATGGATATACACTAGAATTATGCAAGAGAAGCTCAAGAATAAGGAGACAGACTGCCTTCCCCCTGCTAGCAAGAAAAGCCACCAGGAATAAGAGACATGCCTTTGCTCTGTACAGAGGAAAGATATTTTAAGAATGTCAGGTGACTGCTCTCTTTCTGGTTTCTAGTCTTCTTTCAAATCATCTATAATGGCTTTTAGGTAGGGAAGAGAAGTTAAAAACCAAGATATTAAACCCCACAATGCTTCGACACTATACAAACCTATAAACATTTACTCAGACAATTCTGATGATCATTTACTGCTATTGTACAAACCACCAAATACGTCAAGTTCTGTTTAATGTATTTTTTTTGATGGTTAACTGGACTTTCCTGCCTGGGTTGGCTTTGAATTGTGGCCTTAGATTTCAGCCTCCTGAGTAGGATTACAGGCATAAGCCACCAGTGGTCAAGTTAATACAAAAAAATTTGAATGTTTCCTTGGCCTCTAACCAGTTTTGTGGTCTTCGGGATGATCTTCTGGTGAGTAGGGTAATGAACAAATATAACACAATTCTGGTGCTCCACAAAACAAATAAGCTTAGTGCTGATGACTCATAGCTGTAAGCCTAGCTACTCAAGGGGCTGAGATCAATAGGATGGTAGTTTAAAGCCAACCTGGCCAGAAATGCCTGCTAGACACCATCTCCAAAATAACCAGCAAAAAGCAGGACTGGAATCGTGGCTCAAGGCCCAGTAGCACCAAGTCAGCCAATCAATCATTAAATATGAATCACAATGAAAGAAAATGACACATTTATGTTGGCAAAAATCTAGTACTAAAAAAAAAAACCCAAAAAACACATGAGGCTGGGAAGGTGGCTCAGTGGTAGACCGCTTGCCTTGCATGCATGAGGCCCTGGGTTCGATTCCTCAGCACCACATAAGCATAAAAAAAATGGAAGTGGTAGAGCACTAGCCTTGAGCTGAAGAGCTGAGGGACAGTGCCCAGGCCTAGAGTTCAAGCCCCATGACTGACCAAAATAATAAATAAATAAATAAACGAATAAATTACTTATGAAGCTGGGCAATGGTGGCTTGTACCTTTATTCCTTGCTACTCAGGAGGGTGAGATTTGAGGACTGTGGTTCAAAGCCAGCCCAGGAAGGAAAGTCCAAGAGTCTCTTATCTCAATTTAACTAGTAAAAAAACAGAATGGAGCTATGGATCAAGTGGTAGAGCACTAGCTTTGAGCAAAACATCTCAAGAACAATGCACAGGTCCTGAGTTCTAGCCCTGGAACTGGCACAAATAAAAGAAATACTAATGATTTATAAGAGAATTTTACTTTGCTGGACCTAAGATAATTAAAATTCTTACCCAATTATTACATTTTATGTACCCTTTTAGAATGTCTTAAAGAAATAAAATAAAAATAAATGAAAAGTATACATTGTACACACATATATGTATTATGTATATTACTGTGGGATTTTTATTAGGGCACAGGTTTCAACAATTGCTTTATAAATTCCTTGTGTTTTAATTATACAGTTGTATAAGGAGGTTTCGATATGTTAGTCTCTGTGTATAATGCATCTTGATCAGTGTCAGCTCTTCCATCATTCTAACTTATAAATTCTTCACAATGCAAAGAAATTTTTTGGCTTCAAAGGAAAACTTTGCCATGTTCACAAAGAACCCTTTGCAGGTTGTTGATTCAGATTTCAGGGGTTCTGCACCTTTATAATGTCTGAGCTATTTTCTAATTCTTTAAGTCATATATAGCTCATAACCTTTATACTTTTTTGGGCTGGGGGAAGCTGGTAATAGGGCTTGAACTCAGGGTCCCTCATTCTCCTTTAACATTTTTGCTCAAGGCTTGCTTGCATCAACCTACCATGAGCCACATCTCCACTTCTGGATTTTTGATGCTTAATTGGAGATACAACTCTCTAGGCTTTGTCTATCTAGTCTTTCAACCACAATCCTCAGATCTAAGCCTTCTGAGTAGCTAAGATTACAGGGGAAAGCCAATGTGGCAGGCAAATATTCTTTTCCATCTACATGTAAATGGTATGTCCAGTGGAGAGTCTACTAGTTTTTTCCACTGAAGGTTTTCTTGTATTTGTACAAGTGTTTCAGTATTCCAGGTTTTCTAATTTTTTTCTTCTTTGGAAAGGATTTTGAATTGATTTCTTCACTGATAATGACATTTTTAATGAGTTAAATAAAATAGCACGTGTTTGTTTTCTATCGGTATGAGACTAATGACTTCTTTGGAAAGTTGCTTTTCAATAACAATATAAAGTAGGATGGAAACTTTTGAAAGTAGGAATATATAATCTGTGACATCCAAATGATTCTCATTCATTTGTTCATTCATTCATTTAGATTTCTATTTATTTCTAGTTTTAGTTCTTGTGCTGTTACTGGAGCTTGAACTCAGGGTTTCATGCTTTCACTTTGCTTTTTCCCTCAAAGTTGGCACTCTCCACTTGACCCATACCTCCACTTCTGATTTCTTGGTAGTTAACTGGGGTGAGAGCCTCATACCATTTCTGCTTAGGCTGCCTTCCAACTTCCATCGGTATCACCCTTTCCACTGTTACCCATCTCTCCCAACCCCACACATTCCTTCAAGTTATCTGGTTCCATTTGCACATATTCATTACAGTCTTCACTTATCCTCACCCTCCATTTGTCTATCTTCCTCCCCTTGACCCCTCCCACAAACAAATGTATTCTACTCTTCTCACTCCCCTTCAACTTCCATTCAGCTACCATTCTCCTATGTTTGACTTATTTAAAAAGAAGAGAAATAATCTGAGTACATTTTTTATGCCAGCTCTAAGGCTTGAACTTAGGACCTAGGTACTGTCTCCGAGCTTTTGTTGCTCAAGGCTAAGGTCTTCTACCCTTTGAGCCACAGCTCTACTTCTAGCTGTTTTGGTGGTTAATTAGAGATAAGAAGCCAATGGATGTTCCTGTCTGGCTTTGAACCACAATTCTCAGATCTTACCCTCCTGAGTAGTTAGGATTAAAGATGTGAGCCACCAGCTCCCAGCTAATTCTTTTGCTTTTTGAGGTAGGTTCTCACTATGTAGTCCTCGCTGGCCTTGAATTTGTTTTTAACTCCTTGCCTTAGCCTCCCAGTACCCAGCTGTATTACACAGCTGTCTAATTTGCTTTGCTAATAAAGATCAACTATTATATGACTGGAAAAAATCAGTATAACAACTGTCAATTTAACTCAGTCCTTCACAAAGTTGAAGCAAACTATTTTTTAAAATAATTATTTAAAAGTGATATATTTTGCCAGGTGCTGGTGGCTCATGCTTGTAATCAATCCTAGCTACTCAGTAGGCTGAGAGTTGAGGATCCAGGTTCAAAGCCAGCCTCAGCAGGAATGTCCATGAGACTATCATCTCCAATTAACCACCAGAAAACTGGAAGTGACACTGTGGCTCAAGTACTAGAGTGCTTGCCTTGAGGTGAAGTGCTCAGGGACAGTGCCCAGGCCCAGAGTTCAAGACCCAGGACTGACACACAAAAAAGTGGTATTTTTTTTTTTATTTTGGGCAACAATCTAAAAGGAATATAAATACGATTTATGAGAGAATTTAATTACATTGGGATAAAAAGATATAGAAATGCTTAAGACAGTAACAAATCTTAAGTGTTATCACATCCTTCTCTTTTGGCTGTTCCATCCTAGAAACCATTGCCTTATATGCAAAGGAATCATTGCATACCATCCAATAGATAAAATGGAGTTTTGTACTTACTGTGCCCCACCAGAGAGCATCTGCATATGTAGAAAACTCTTTATTGGCATCTTTTTCCACCAGATAGACAAGGAAGGATGAAAAAATAAGAACAAGAAATCCTATGTACCACGCTGTGATTAATTCCTAGGAATAAAAGGAATAAAGTATTTTTAGAAATCAAAGCCTTTGCAAAAGGAAAAAAAAATCTGTGTGATTCCATTCTCTATATTACCTTTGTGTGTGTGTGTGTGTGTGTGTGTGTGTGTGTGTGTGTGTGTGTGTTAGTATTGGGGCTTGAACTTAGGACCTTGAACCTTTGATTAGCCTTTCTATTCAAGGCTGGTGCTTTACCATTGGACCCGTATCTCCACTTGCAGCTTATAGCTAGTTAATTGGAGGTACAAGTCTCATGGACATTTCTGCCTGGGTTGGCTTTGTACCATCCTCCTCAGATCTCAGTCTCCTGGATAGCTAGGATTACAGGCATGAGTCACCTATGCCTGTCACTTTATTACTTCTTGAAGTGAGGGAGAATAATGGAAGGGGTGACATTGATCAAAATACACTGTACTGATATATTGATTTGTTGAATCTTTGTACAACTACTTAAAGATAATAAAAATGTAATTGTAAAAAGACAAATTGTATTCATAAACTAACATATTGAAATTGAGCCCCTTGATCAACTAGTTAAATATAATAAAAAATAAATAATTTAAAAATAAAAACAAATAGTAGCTACTCCTTAAAAAATCAATGAGCTAGATACTAGTGACACATTCCTATAATCCTAGCTACTCAGGAAGCTTAGATCTGAGGAATTCCAATTCAAAGCCAGTAAATAAGTCCTTGAGATTCTTATCTCCAATTAGTCACCAAAAAGGCCAGAAGTGGAGCTGAGGCACAAGTGGTAGAGTGCTAGCCTTGAGCACAAAGTCAGGGACAGAGCCCAGGTCCTGAATTCAACACCAGAACCTCCTCAACCTCTAATCCTTGAAAAACAAAATTGATTAATGCATTATACACCAGTACCCTGGATTGCTTTCACCAAGTTCTGAAGTAACTATTGCTTATAATAGGGTTCTTAAATTTTATTACAGCAAAGGAAAAAGTGTAAAACCCATTGTCTACAACCTCAGAAAGGCAGCCTGCTACCTTTAATCCTAGCTACTCAGGATGCTGAGATGTAAGCATCACAGTTCGAAGTCAGCCTGGGCAGGAAAGTCTGTGAAACTCTTATCTCCAATTAACCATCAAAAGAGCCAAAAGTGGAGTTGTGGCTTAAATGCTAGCATGCTAATCTTGAGCAGAAAAGCACAGGGAAAGCACCCACTGAGTTCAAGCCCCAGGAATGGCACAAAAAAGAAGACAGAAAGAAAGAAAGAAGGAAAGAAAGAAAGGAAGGAAGAAGGAAGGAAGGAAAGAAATTAATCAAGGAAGGAAGGAAAGGAAGGAAGGAAGGAAGGAAGGCAGGAAGGAAGGAAGGAGGGAAGGGAGGGAGGGAGGAAGGAAAGGAAAGAAAGGAAAAGAAAAAAGAAAAGAAAAAGTCTAGCATACCTTGCTGTGGGCATAAACCACGGAACCCAGTAATTTCCAAGTCCCGCCCCTGCGGTCCATGCGCACCATTCGGAGAATTTGGAGGAAACGTAGACTTCGGAGAGCAGACGTGGCAAAAATATTACCCTGAGTTTTTGCAGAAACGACTGCTATTGAAGCAATAAGAACGATGGTATCTGAAAGACACAGATGGAGACAGTCATAAATCACACGGCTAAGGATTTTCATCCTTCATCACAATATTTCTGAAATCTTCACTCTTTTAGAGTCAAACACACAGATCTCAAAACCCTGCCTCACCCCATGCTATTTAGAATGAAGTCAGAGATCTGGATGAGGAGCTACCTGAGTGCTTGTCTGTGTCCTGTGCTTTACCTGTTCAATTATAACCACATGCGACCTAACCTTCAATAACTTAGACAAGCTGACACTGGTGGATCATTATAATCCTAGCTATTCAGGAGACTGAGATCTGAGCAATGGGATTCAAAGCCAGCCCATATAAGAAAGTTCAAGAGATTCTTATCTCGCTAACCCACTAAAAGACAGAAGTAGAGCTGTGGCTCAAGTGGTAGAGCACCAGCCTTGAGGAGAGAAGCCAAGGGACAGCAGCCAGCCTTGAGTTCAAGTCCCAGTACCTCCAAACACACAAAAAGTCTCATTGCCAAACAAGCGTGTTACAAAAATTCCCTGATGCTGGGAAGCCCTAGAGCTTTGAAGACTGTCTGTGGGCCTCAACAGAGAAGACCACTCTAACTCTTTGCATGCAGTACTCTTCAGAGCAGATCTGAAAGTTTTATGCACAAATTAAGTAACAATACATCTGTTATAATAGCCTATGTAATAAAACACCCAATGCATTGCACAAGAAGGAGATATTTAATGTTTAACACATTAATATTTGGCTTAGCTGCCAAGTGCTTAGAGGAACCTACAGAAGAATACTAACCCTCACAGAGAAAATATGAATGGCATGAAGTGGGCTTTGAAATGGCAAAAGTAAATGGTCTCCAAGAGTAATTTGTATGTGTATGGGGGTGGGGGGTGGGTGGGAGTTGAACAGTATATACTGGAGCTTGAACTTAATGGGCTTCAACTCTTCTTTAGCTTTTTTGCAATCAACCACTTTGGTTGGCAATCAACCACTGAACTGCAGCTCCACTTCTGGGTTTCTACTGACTAACTGGAGATAAGAGTCTCATGAACTTTCCTACCCAGGTTGATTTTCATCCTTCCAAGTAGCTAGGATTATAGGTGTGAGCCTCTGGAGCTCAGATCCTGCAGCTATTTTAATATATGAGCTTGACCTTAATGTTCTCAAAAAAGAATTTCCTTCCTGCTTCAAGTGGGTTGTGCCTGACTAGGCTTGTGTCCTCTAAGCAGTTCTACTAAAAAGGTGTTGTGTTTGTAGTTTCCACGTGGTAGGGATTCACTGCCAATGAATTCATTTCATCCTTCTACCTGCACTGAAAAAGCAAGGCTCTACTGATGACAGCTGATAGGAGGTATGGATTACCCTCCTGGTGCTCCATTCTGGGTCAGTGATAGTTCAGTCAAAGGCCATTTTCAATCGGATCTATACTCTGAGTGCCTTTCTGGAAAACTGCTCAGAGAGACTCAAGTGTACCACTGAGTTTCTGGGTTGAGAAGAAGCTGAATGCATTGACACAGGACACTGGAGACATATTTGAAGGGCATAAAAGTCAATTGTCAAATAGTGTGTGATGGAAGTTTATTTTAGCAAAACTTCCTGCCAGTTTATGTGAATGTTTGACCTCCACCCTATGGTCCCAGGCCCATACAAACTCCAGGCAAAATCCCAGGTATGTGTGAACTCCTTTGAAATGCAGGCAGGGCAATCCACCTAAGCCCAGCTGTAAACATCCCACTGTGGGCCCAACTGAAAGGCTTAGGGGCTTTTCATTCACCTCTGCCTCCTTGCTCAGACCTCCTATAAAAACTCAGCTCCTGTCCCAACTGGGGGGACACAATCTCCAAACCCATGGGAAGGCTGTGCCCCTCACTATTCCTCAATAAACAGTCCTCACCTGTTGATGATTGAGTCCGGCCTCTTCCTTTTCCATTCTCCTGCATTTTCCTACATATGGTGCCAACACCCAGGAGAGGAAAAGCACCAGGAGTAACTGGGTGCCCTCTGCTGAGGGGCCATCTACCTTCTTGCCACCTCTCATGGAGTCTTTCTGCTACCTTCCTCCTCCTTCCAAGGCCTTTCTCCATCGGGAGCACTGAGCCCTCCAAACTTACTTTGGGCTAAACAGCCACCTGAAAGACCTTGTGGCCTTTGCCTTTGTAAGCAGTGCATGCCTCATGGATGGCCACCCTGAGTGGTATTATTGACCCCCTGAGTAAACCCAGAAAGGCCTTATCTCTCCCCCTATTTTCCTCCCTTTTCCTATGGTGCCGAAACCTTATGTTAGGAAAATGGAGGAGAACAGAAAAGGAATAGCCTGGACTCGATCATCAACAGGGAGGGACTGTTTATTGGGACACATACCTTCCTGTGGGTTGGGAGTTGTGCCCCTGAATTGGGACAGGAGTTGGGTTTTTATAGGAGGTCTGAGCAAGGAGGCAGAGGTGAATGATTTAAAAGCCACTAGGTCTAGGAAGGTGGGGGGCCTTTCAGTTGGGCTCACAGTGGGATGTTTACAGCTGGGCTTAGGTAGACTGCCCTGCCTGAACTTCAAACGAATTCACACATACTTGGGATTTTGCCAGGGGTCTGTATGGGCCTGGGACAATAGAGCCAGGGTCAATCTTTCATATTCCATCTTTACATACGTAAAATGATAGGGCCAAGGGGGGAGAGGAAAGTTCTTCATATAGGATCTTTGGATACATAAAAAGAATTGGGCTGAGAGGGGAGTAGCATGGAATTATGAGCACAAAGCAGATTCCCATCAATGTGACTAGGAAAAAAACAAGGTAGAATATTCATTGGTTATTATGGTTAATTATCTGTAGAAGTCAAGAGTCAGGTGATAAAGGACATTTGGGGAATGGGCAAAGGGAACTGTTAGGTAGATGGGTATGGAATAATGGTGGATATAACATGTGTCAGAGAACTTGTGGTCTGCCATGACACATAATGCTCTGGGTTCCTGCTCAAAATTCGATATCCACAGTGAAGTACAACATTGTTTAGGTTGAGTATGACCAATCAGAGCCATTTCTATAATTGTGCATGATTAGGATGGCCAATCAGATTTACTTCCAGGCAAGTGCAGTGGCCAATGAGGGACTCAAGTTAATGCATGGGCCCTCCCTGATATAGGGGGAGAAGGAGAATTAGTAAAGCACAAAGGCCACTTCCCTGGGGGACATCATTGGATTCCTTGGTCTGGGGCCTCTCCCTGCAGGGTGTGTGCTATCTTTCGATAAACTTGTGTTCTATTATACTTTACTACTCTTTTGCTACTTAATTCTCTACTTGGCACAGAAATGGGCCTAAATCCTCAGATAATATCAATTTCGTTGTCTAAATTATCATTTGCATTTTTAAAATTTAATTAATGTTTTTTTCTGAACTTCCAAAAGTCATTTAAGGGAGTTTCACAGGATTTGCAATTTAGCATGTCCATCATTCTTCCTCCTCCCATCTGTTCCCTCCTCCCCAGACTCATTCATATTTCCCACTTTCTTTGTCACTTATATATACTGAGTATTCTGGGTGTACTTGTGTCCTGTTCCCTTTTTCATTCAGCCATTCCTCCTACTAGCCTCTGTTATAATTATTAATGATGAACCTCTATGGGATTTCCTAAAATGAGTATCACTTTACATAAGAAAGAATATGTAAAGAACGAGCTATGAACAATGACAGATGATGGTTTTTATCATTTGGCGATATTTGCTCTGAGCATAGTAATTTACAGATAAAGACACTTTCCTTATATGGCCCTGCAGGACATTTATGCTTGCTTATATTTCATTGAAACATTTCATCTTTTCAATACTCAGGAAAGAAAGAGATACAATATTTCATTCATTGTGTTAGGTATTTGAAACAGTACATACAAGTAGATGGCTAGTAGGGGTGCAGAAAAACAACCCACAAATCAGTATTACTGCTCTTGGAATTTCTTCGTGGTCTAAAACATTATCTTACTTAAGTTTTGTAAGAATCTTATGAGTTAGCTATTCTACAGGCTGCATTTTACAGGTGGACAAGTGAAGAATACAAAGCACACATTTAAAAATTCCGGATTTATACTACAGCACAAAGACCAAATAATACAGTTAATTCATTAAGAGAAGAACAAGGTAAGTAAAAGGAACACTGCTAGTTTGAAACAATTACAAAAGTTATGCACGGGGTGAGTCATAATCTAAATGTCTGAAATGACAAAGTATGTGAAAGTAACAGCAGAACTGAGTTAACACCTTCATTGTAATTCAAATCAGATGAAAAAGTCAGAGTTCAGATAATGAAATCACTGATAAGCAACCAAATGGTTCATAGTGAACATTATCACAATACTGGTCCTGGTTGAGTTCTAGCCAAGTACCAGGATTTTCCTGTAAGCATTATCTAGATAATTTTTCTAGGCTAATATTTAAGTTATGAGAACTTCTTTTATATTTCTTAATGTGTTGGTTGTTTTTGTGGCTCATTGCTTTCTAGAATAGAGGCTCTATGAGCTTGAATAACTATTATTTTTCACTAATATAGTTCTAGTACCTAAAAGAGTGCCTGAAATGTGAATGCTATTGATCAAACTTACACTAATAAACACCTAAATGTAGTTTGAACTTTATTCTCTTACCACATCAGTGGTTTAATATCTGGGACATCAATTTAAACTAGATATGAAAGTTTAGCAAAGGATCAATAAATTCTACTACAACATAAACTGTCATCTATTAAAATTTATAGAATAAACCAGGAGGATACATTAAGATGTATTACTAATTAATCCTCTAAAATACTGAAACATAGGGGCCTTGTGTTTCCTTCAGGGGTATATTTTCATGTAAGGTATAAATACCCCTAGTGGGCTATTTGTATTAACAATTAACATGAAGGTATGCAGGTTTATTTGAATGGCTTTAGTTCATTTGTTTACCTTTCCTGGTTTAAATAGTTAATTAAGGACCAGCCCTTGGTCCTTACACATTCTTCAGACCATCCATCAATCCCTACAAGTTTGGTGGGCAT